AAGTTTTAATTATAAAAAATAAAAAAATAAAATAGGATATAATAATATCTTACATGAAGGAATTATTCAAAGTTGTTGAATGAAGAACGTGAGTGTGCAATCGATGATAAAAAAAATAAAAATAAATTTCTGTTTAAATTATAATAATAGTAAAGATATAGTATTTTTCATTTATTAAAGCTATTTCTAATTTACACTGAAGAAAAAAACAAAATGAAGAAAAAAGGGTTATGAAATTGTTTTGTGAATAAAATTTTTTTTTTTTATTTATTTTGGGGGTATATAAATATATTAAATTAAAATTTTTATAAAATTTTAACTGCATATTTTTTTGTACACATCCTTCAATATTTAAAATTAATTATATTGAAATAACATGTAAAGCTATAATGTCCAATTAAGTTTATATTGTTTATATTTCTATAAAAAGTAAAGATTTTTAATACATTTCCGTACCGAAGGGAGCCGAGCTCAAATTACTACTGTAATTTGAGCCATTAAATTTATCAGAATCCTTTCTTTTTTTTCGACCTCCGACGAGGGTCTTCTTTCCAAGATGTACAAACAGCCGTGATAAGATAAATTTCCTTATTTGTTTGTATCAATGCATATGACAAATGATCCTCATTTTGGTAATATATGGGAAGATTGCCAGAATTAAGATCTTATTACAATGACATCAAGATCTAAGTGCATAAAAATTTCCTTGGACCTGATATTGTAGTGTGAAAATTTGTAAAGGAAGAAGGAACGTGAGAGAAATGGCGTAAAGTATGAAATCAGATGCACGCTACGCATTGTGCAAATCAACCAGTACTAATTCAAAGACGCCAACATAATCATTTAAAAATGATTAATTTTTCATTATAATATAAAAAGTTCCATTTACTCAATCGTTAACAAATATTAATTAAACTCAAAAAATATACTTTAATCAAAAATATGTAATTATACTTTATTAATTAAAAGCTATTTAATAAAAAAATTACTTTATAAGGCTAAATATCGAAGGCTTGGGAAAATCTTGTGACAACTTCATTTGTTCCATTGTTTTTGGGGAAATTGGTTCATTTGGAAAATGAGAATAATAAATCAATCGTAAATGGGTTTAAATTTATAATCAGTGATTGGTCACTCTTTGAATCGTCTTTATAAATAGGCCCAATTTAAACAAAAAATTTTGTTTTTTCAATAATACCGAAAAATGGCATCTCCTGATATTACTCTTCATACTTTCACAACTCCCAACGGAGTAAAAATTAGCATTGCTCTTGAAGAATTAGGACTTCCTTATAAAGTGAATTTTATTTCTTTTGAAAAAGGAGAACATAAGAGCCCCGAGTATTTGAAAATCAATCCACAAGGAAAAATTCCTGCTCTCACGGATCATGATTTTAATGTATTTGAAAGTGGCGCTATTTTGATTTATCTTGGTGAAAATTATGATCCTGAAGGGAAATTATTGCCAAAGGATCCCAAGTTAAAAAGTCAAGTTATACAATGGGTATGGTAAAATTTTCTTTTGTTCTCATGAATGAAATCAAAAAAAAAAAAAAAAAAAAAAGGTTTAATCCCTCTTACTCTTATTAGATTATGTTCGAAGTGGCTGGACTCGGACCTATGCAAGGACAAGCTAATATTTATAATACTTTCTCACCAGAACATGTTCCATATTGCATTGAACGATATACCAAGGAAACCAAAAAATATTACACCACCTTAAATGATTTCTTGGAAAAGAAGGATTATTTAGTTGGAAATAGGTTTACTTTAGCAGATATTGCAAATTATTCTATGGTTAAGTTCCACGTCATTTGTGGAATTCCAAATCTAGATGATTTTCCAAATTTAAAAGCTTGGGTGGCTCGCATTGATGCAAGACCTGCTACTCAAAAAGGCATAGATGTACCTAATGGTGACCTTAGAGGATGGATTGAACATCCTGAAAAGTTGGAAGAATTATCTCAAAAGGTTAAAGCTAAACTTTCTAAACAAAAAGAAGAAGAAAAAAAATAAAAGTTGCGATTCGAATGTCATTATTAATTTCTTATTTGATTATTATTTTTTTTTTTCATTTATCATTTAAATAAAAAATTTTATTTGTCTAAATTTATTGGTCAGTATGAGAATGTCACATTTTTGATTACAAAAAAAAAAATTTTGGAGTTTTATTTAATCGAGTTCGCCGTTAATATATCATTCTTCATAAAAGCCATGAAATAAATACTTTTTTTTTTTTTTGATTTTATCTTTACCGACAATAAAAATTTTCTCATTATCTTATCATTAATTACCACATCGCCATTTGCTTTTTTTTATTAACAATAGCAAACAACTCTTCTATTACTTCCATTTCATCGTTCGCAACTAATAATAAACGTTTCATCCCTTTACCTTTCTTGAACTCTTCCCAATTCTTTGCAACATATTCCAATACGATATCTTTTAAAAATTTATCGTTAGTTTTCCATCCCACCAATAAAAATTTGTCCCAATTGCCTTTATTCAAAGATCTAGGCATTTCCTTTGCAATTAAGCACTTTAACTTCGTTAATCCCATCATTTCAGCTAATTTACGAGTTTCATTATGAATGTTAATAAGACGACAACATCCATTACATCCCTCATACATCATTTTTCCTGTATATATAAAATAGATAACAGCACGAAATGCCATACAAGTAGTATTTTCAATTCTTACAACTTTCTTCCCTTTCCACTCTCCTTGAAATTTTTCTTTAAAATATTTGGATTCCATCGCTAAAATCACACGATGTGCCTTAACGGGTTTATCACAACCAAAATTAAATTCGATATCCGCCAAATCATCATCTTCAAAAGCTTTCTCGGTTTTTTCGTATAAAATCTCATTCCTTTCAATACTTTCATCAGAGTCTATAAACGTAATTTGAATAAAGATATCAGTTGATCTGGATCTATTACTATCAGGTAAAATTTCGTTCAATGAAATAAATTGGTCAAGACTCCAAGTTGCAGGTGGATTATTGAAATTGTAATTATGTTTGATATCTGTAACTTTTTTGATAAGAGTTTTTGACCTGGATGCTCGATTGACAAAAGTTTTCCCAATTCCAAGTTTGTGTCTTTGTTCTCTCTCGTTTATATTATTTGAACGTTCAAATGGTGTCTTAATAGCTTCAAGAGAAATTGAAATATAATTTCTAGCTCCTAAATCACCATTCGGATATAAATGTAATTGCCATAAAGTAGGTTTGATATTATCATCATGACAATTTTGTGGGATCCAAAATTTTGGACTAGAAAAGGCATCTCCATGAGATATTTTTCTAACATAATCTTGAAAACTTCCAATTTCCCAGATAAACGTATTTGCGATTTCACCCATTTTTTTTCGTATTTAAAGATAAAGATCAAAAAAAATTGTCTAAATTATCAAAATATATAATTGTTTTCCACTAAAAGATAATTTAGGTGGCTGTGATCACATGTTTCATTTTTGCTCTAAATGATGTAAATTTAAGGTCATCAGCGATGTTTTTATAAGAAACTTCACACTCTAAAATCGCCCTGATTATTAATCAAGAAAGTGAAATGTCACGTGACTCAGAATGCAAATCATAGTTCCATTTGTTTGAAAAGTTCTCTGTACCGTGAAAGAATGTTAATATAGTTTTACTTTTTACAAAAAAAGAGGAACGGTAAAAAGGTACATTAAGGTAAAAACGTACACTAAGCGGTCAGTCTTGATGAGCGAGCCTTTAAAATAAATTTTTTTTTTTGGATGGCAAGTCGAGCGGACACAAAAAACAAGAGCAAGCTTTTTGAGAAGGAACAGCTCAAATATTTTAACCTGCTAGGCGTAAGAATTTATTATTTCACAAATTCCTGTACTGCGATTTCTTGCAATCCTAGTTTCTTATCATTAATAAATATGTATTTTACAAACGTTTCGTAAAGAACGCGGGAAAAGTTTCCAAGTCACGTAAATAAACCAATCCTTTTAATAGATGTATTCATTACATAATATCATCATAAAGCACAAATAAATTTTTTATTGCGAAAAAAAAAAATGGATAATCCTTGAGCAATAAGATTAAGTGTAGGAGCAAACCCGTTTCAGAGTCTCAAGTATTTTTCAAATTTTAGCTTGTAAAGCAGCTCGCTGGATCCAGTACAGATCAATATTGAAATTTTTACTGATTACGTTTGTCGGGATTACTGGAACATATATAGATGGAATTGGAGATGGTGGGTCCCAAAATACCTCACTAATCGGAATGTTTATCTGAAACCTTGGATCGTTTGGTGCGTTGCAAAGAGTAGGGTCATTAATATCACCAAGGGGATCTCTTGAATTTTTTTTAACATTCCCAAAATCCCACACTTTTATTGCCATTCCTTGGCGATAAAGTTTTGCCTAATATTTAAAACAGACTAATCAGATATGAAGAGATGCAATGTTCATTGAATAAAAATAAGTAAGACATACTGTCATTGATCTAAATAGATATCCGGTTCCGGGTTCTTGCACACCTGGTCTTGGAACTAAAATCTTAATGCTGATGACAGCACGAACGTATGGTTCTAACATCCAAGTCGAACATTTTCGTCCCAATTGACCAACACCCTGTCCTACAGCCACCTCACACATTATCCTTGCATGAGGATTTCCCTACATAACCCATAATAATTACAATCACATATAAAACAAAATACAATAATACATATCAATCTCAACATACGCCCTTGTCACTGGGAGGAGGAGGTATTCTGGTGGAAGTGACTGGTCTTTGAACAACTGCCATACTTGGGCGTATAGCAACATCAGGAGCTATTTCAACCCCTATTCCACTAGGATCGTTGTGTACTATATAAAAAGACTATTAAGAATCTTGAAATTTCAATAACAAGAAGCAAACTAGAATACATCCTCTTACGAGGTTGTCCAGAGACTCTGATTAGAGGATCATCAACAAATCCATTATTGGGAACTTTGAAAAACTCTTGAATTCGTGAAACAACATCCTCATATACGGTTGAGGCCATATCAATTATATACACTTCACCAGTCTTAGTGTCATTGTTTAAATTGAACCAGAATTTGTATCCAGACGACCCATAATTGTGAAGGAAAGTGTTATAATTTTTGATTGTTATTTTCGAGCCAATTTTGAACGGCAAACTGCATTCCATATAAATTCAAACATTAGGCGGAACTTAAGTAATAAAGTAATAAACATACCTATACACTAACCTTCTTTCTGTCAACGACTTTTTCGGTAATATTGGATAGTTATGTAAGAGTTCATCAAATCTATCCAAAATCCTTGCCAACCAAATATCTTTTGAAGTACGTGCACGAGACATTTTTTAAGAGTAAAAGAAGCAAAGAAACTATGATTAATTGATCAATTTAATCCGTTAAATAGCGAATACAAAATCAGTCACATGATACTTTGGGTGAACATTCCCACGACGTGTCATGAATTGTTGATATCATAGCCTTCCACTGGTGATAATATGATGAATAAAAAAATTTTAATATTAATTATTAAAATATATTTAATTTTTAAATAATATCATTTCTCATATTATTTTTAAAAATAAATTGATTTATCTATAAAATAAATTTCAAGATAAAATAATTTTAATTTGGAATTACGGAAAGTAATTAGTTACCTTAAAAAAAAATTATTACAATATTGCAGAGATTTGCAAAGGACAACCCTCCAAATGATTTCATCAACTCGTGTTTTGATTGTCAGTGTCATTAAAATCAATTAGTTGAAAATTTTCCTCAATGACACCGTAAGATGTTCCAACAATTCGCTGAGTAGCGGTCTTGAATAAGGATTTTCTCAATAAAGATTCAGTATTCTCAATTCTTTAAAACCTGAAATAGAATAAATAGCTTTGAAGAATCAAGAGGTAACTTTTGCTGGGATAATTCGTTCCTATAAAATATTAATGATTTAAAATTGTAAAATATATATTTAGATGATTATTATAAAAAAAAATTTATAAAATTCAACGTCTGATACCCTACTTTACATAGTTTATATAGGTCTCTATGTGTAAACGCTATTATGTACATGAAACCGGCATATATATTTTTGCATGACATCATAAAATTCATTCTTAATATAATGCCTTTTGCTTCGAATTATTTATTGAATCGACCTTATCGTGGTAAATAGATTTACTATACGATGATTCTATATTAATACCTGCAGTTTTCGTTCATCTAACTAGCGTTACCTTATTTTTTTTATTCGATTAGGCAAAAGAAAATTAAAGAGAACGAGAAAAGCAGAAGACAAAAACGAAATCTATACTGCGTGACGTTACCAACAAACTTGTTTTTTTAAAGTTCTTTTTCGATTTTTAATTCTAAAGATGAAACTCGTGAAGAATCAAACGAGGACCGTGATTCTTTAATGTTTATTTCACCCGAACGATTGGCAACTATCATTAAATTTGTGGAGGAGAATCATATTGGCCTTTTACGTAGTCCGCCATCGTCAGGAAAGAGTACTCTCGGTGAATATCTCCACGAAATTTACGATGGTATATAACATCAGCCTTGCTGATGTTATTGTAAAAGGCAATCAAGAAATCGATGTGGATTACTTAGAGGAATTCTGAAAAAATAAAGTCGATCGTACTTGGACAAAAATCATTAAATGCACGGAGGAAACTTTTTGTTTGTCGATGGAATACAAGTTATCTATGGCAAACGTGCTCCATTTTTTTTTGAAGTAACACTGAGAATAATAAACATCTTTGGATATTTTTCTCGGCACGTATCATCCAACACTTTCAGATACAGAAAAAACCGTAGAAATTAGACATAATCTTGGTTTGGATGTCCTACTTTTTTAACACAATACGAGTTCAATGTACTTGTAGCAAACTTTGTCCAGAGATATTCTTCTCGGAATCGCTTCAAAATTCCTGAGGATGTTAAAAATGCCATCTTTAATCTTACTGGTGGACATCCCGTTGTCGATTTATTTTTAACACCAGGGACGATGATACAGTATTTGGCATCACAAAATATTATGTGATTAATACAAATAATTCACTCTCAATCACCACAAAATTACACAAAATTTTTCTGTTTTCTTTGTCTCAAAATTTTCTGATTTATGGCATTCTGCAAAATATCACATCCTTTAAATATGTGCTACAAATATAGAACCCGCGCCAGTGTCAAAACAAAAAAATTGGGGGGGGGGGGTTAGTTCGATAACTCTTATGGTAAAAAAAAAAAAAATCACAAAATGATACAAATAACACAATTTTTCAGAAAGTAAGATCACGACGCAACACAAAATTTATTTTAATCACACACAAAATTCACCACAAAAAAAAAACCTGTTATAAAGTAAATTTCGTGAAGGTACACAAATTAAATCAGCAGTAATCACGAAATGGTGCAACATCAAGCTCACGTGCTATTTACTGGATTGGCGACCAAAAAGAAAAAGTCACCACCACAGGCCCCAAAGGCTCCAACCATGACGAAGCTAATTTTGTTCGCCTTGTGTTAATTAGAAGTCAATGTGGAACTCCATTTTTGTTAATTATAATTCAAATCCTGTTGCCAGGAAATTTCTTAAATCCGGTATTTTCGTTGAGATTGATAGTCAAATACAATTTGAGAGAAGATGGTACGGTATCGCGCTTCTACAATAGAATGAATCAATAAGTGCTGATGTTGGTCCTGTGTTCGGTTCGGCTGGTTTCCTTGATTTTTATGTTAATGGAGATTGTTGCTGGGGAATTGAGCTTACTCGAGAAGGTAGTCTTTTGAAGAAACACGAAGAACGATTCGAAAATGATGGTATATATGACAAAATTTCATTGAGACGTTGAGTTGTAATTGACTTTCGATATCATTCAAAGTGTACGTTGAAATAAAAACAAATTTCGGTACGGTATTACTATTAAACGTGATATAAAATCCTTATTTTGTACGGTGATGAGTAAATTTCTTGTAAATTTATAACAACAAATTAGTGTTCCATTTAAATAAGTGCAATATCATAGGAAAACTTTATTAATTTTTCAGATATGAGAAATAAATATAGAGATGAAAAAAATGATAAAGGTAGAAAGCGAAATACATTGGCAGATCCTAGACCATTTATGCGCCATATTATTTCTTTCGCTCTCATATTTCCGGAAACTTCAATAGCTTTTATTTCTATCACTATTTACGAGATATTACCCGTATTTACAAAATTTTGCCTACCTTTATCTCTCTCACCAACAGGAATTAAGTTCCGCAAGAGAATTTTTTCGATATGAAATGATTTCGAATCTTCAGTATAAATTCCGGAGATTAGCAAGAAGTACTGTACATGCTATAATTTCGATAAAAGTAAACAATACTCCTCTCCCTTTCCTTTATATTTCATTTCATAGTATTCAACTCTGTAACCGAAAGATTTATTTCTCACCGCATTATAGATGTATGTAATAATTTCTTCGATGTGTTAGAATTGCGCAAGTTTTCGATATACTGCGCCAGACTTTTTTGCGCAAATATAGATTCGAATATTTAATTCCGCCAATCAATATGGCCAAGATATGATAAAATCATTAAAAAAAATGGTCAAGCAAGGAAGAGAATTTACATTTGATAAAAATATATGATGTTTCTAGTCTTCCAAAAACAAGTATGGAAAATAATCCTTTGATAATAGGAATTGATGAACTTGAAACATGATCGCTTCAAGAGATAAAAAAGATATATTGTCAAAGGTTGGCGAGTTGATTGGTCCAAAAGTTTGAATCTTTTTGGGGTATGTACAGTTATTAAAACAAAGAATCTTATTCAAATATAGTTAGAAGGTTCAGATAAAAATCTGCCCCACTCCTTACATTTTAAAGTTTTAATATCCATGTAATTATGATCCGCGTTTATATACTACGGCAATATACTATTTTGAAGCTCGAGAAAATGGTTCTGTTGAAAAAATTGAATGAATCAAAGAGAATAAATCACCATTATTATGTTATAGTTTTACGTAAAATTCAGTAATTCTTTTGAATAAGCAACAAAAGGTATCATTTTTCTAATTATAGAGTGTCAATTAAAAATTGGTTTTAAAATCCATTGGTACTTCAAAGTAAATGGTTATTTAAAATAAAAAAAAAAGATCGATTGTATCCGATTCAAGAAGAAAGAAATATTGTTAATTAATTTGAGACATGCATTTAGTACTACATATAAGTGAAAAATGTTTAGATTTTCAATAGAAGGGTTCTTTGAAATCATATCGTTGAAAGTGATTTAATCAATTTTGTGATTGGCTAGCAAATAAATGCGAATATTTGTCTAAGTATTTTTAAGCATGATACGCATTTCCAATATAAATATTTTCCAATTATGGTTTTCTTACCGCCCGAGATGTTCAGATTTAGCGTTTATCATTTTACTCGGCAGTTTCCCTGCATATGAAATGCATATGATCATCTGCGGAATATACAATTTCCCTTTTTTTTATATTTTTTTTTTTTTTTTAAAAAAAAAAAAAAAGTAATTAGCAATAATAATTTTAAAGAAATTTCGTTTTTAACTACAGTGTTAAAGGTTCTATAGTGAGTATTTTTTTTTTTTTTTTTTTTTTTCATTCAATTGAAATCAAAAACATTTGAATCAAAGATTTAAGAGTATATTTATTTATGGGATCGCGCTAAAAATGCTGTCAATTGGAAAATTTTGTGTCGTATTGAGAGAAAACGTGAACAAGCGTTACGTAACATTACCTAAGAATTAATAATGAGAAGATTGATTAGGTAAATTCTCCATGTCTCATTGATAACTTTATTTGTAATATCGGATATTGTTTGCTTATGAAATAAAGTTGTCAACTAGCTATGTTGTGCTTCGATTCACTGAATGATGGATTGTTTATTATTTGTGAATTACCAATATTATGCGAGAAGAAGTAAAAGTGCTCCGATAGATTCCGAATAAACAATATTTTTAAAATTGTATTACTTGAATTAACCGATTTACTTGTTCTAGTTACGCGGGATCGATGATTATTATCGGAGATATTATATTTGGAATGAATATCAGCGCGAATCTTCAATAACTTGTTTTATGGCATACATCAACTGCGCCATTCGATTGATAACTATATAAAGGAAGCCTCAATTTCCGTTTCTTTTTTTCTTTAACAAATTCAGAATTATAAGATTGTTCGGATTAATTTGAATTAAATTTTATTATAAATTTTTTTTTTTTTTTTGATTTGTCGAATTACTTTTTTATAAAAATGAAATTAAAATCTTTCACCTCAGCAATTTTTATATCGGTTTTCATTGCCGGTACGACAATACTTGCTGCACCTCTTGCACCTCCAGAACAAAAATTCAAGAAATTGGTCGCAATTGGAGATTCTTTTACTGGTAAATTCAGTTCCCTTTTAAAACTCTTCATCATCATGATTTTTTTTTTTTTCCCAAACGAATCGTTTTAATAGTAAATCTTTTTCAATTAGATAGTGGAAATGTATTTAATTTGACAAATCATTTATGGCCATCAGCTGGAAATTTTTTCGAAGGTAGATTTAGCAATGGGAAAATGTGGGTCGAATATCTTAGTGAGTTGCTCGGGGCGGAATTAGAAAATAAAGCCTATGGTGGTGCAACTTCCGAGTAAGTGATCAAAGTGTATTTTACGTTTGATACCCAATTTAAGAGATATTCTAACCAAATCTTTTTGTTTATTTATATTAGTAATGATTTGGTTCAAGGATTTATTAGTAAACAAGTTGTTCCAGGAGCTACAGCGGATATACCTGTGCCTGGAATGAAACAACAAGTGGATGAATATCTTTCTGAGAATGATAATCACGAAGATAATCTTTATGCAGTGAGTATCATAAAAAAAAAAACATTTTATTTTTTTTTAACATTTAAACAAGGAGAATTAACCTTTTTTTTTTTTTTTAAAAAAAAAAATTTAGTTTTGGGATGCCGGTAATGACTACTTTTTCTCATCATTTTCGATGGATCCATTAAAAGTAGTGGAATCCATGGGCCTTTCATTTGAAAAATTAGTCGCGGCAGGAGCAAAATCATTCCTTGTAGCAGATATTGAGGATTTTTCCAAATTACCATTCTTTAAAAATTCAACGTCAGAAATGAAGACAACCTACCAAAAAATCGTTAAGGATCATAATGAAGCTTTAAGTGAATACATGAAATCATTCGTGGAGAAACATAATGATGTACAGGTTTATAGGTATATAACTGTTGAAATGTTCGATTATTATACATCAATTGAAGGTCAAAAGGAGTTAAAGATCTCCAATGTAACAGATGCTTGTAATGATGTTTATTCGAACCTTACGAACCCTGTTATTTGTGACAAACCTGATGATTTCATATTTTGGGATGCTTTCCATGTAACCACTAAACTTAATTCAGTTATCGCTAATGATTGCCTCAAAGCTATTACAAAGAGCTAATTCATTTTTAGAAATTCAATTTACATTATGTTACGTTTAAAAATAAGAAATTAGATTTAATCGGTAAATTTTATTTAATTAATTTTATTTTCCGGTACTTAATATAATAATCTATTAATTCACCATTAATAAAAATACAATTCATTATTTTCTTGATTTGAAATCTCATCATAATCTTGTTTATTTTAACTTGTTTATTTTGTGAAGTGCGATTATTTATAAACGTGAAAATTCCCATTCGAATTAAGAAATATACTATAATTTTTAATTAAATAAAACCATCAATTGAAGACGCACTAGGGCATGTGTGCGAAAAAAAATTGACATTTCATTGACAGACGCACTGAAATTTTTGATTTTTCGGGCGTTTTTATTTATTTAAATGAACCGTTTTTTGATGTTATTCCATAAAAGGGACTTGAATGTTATATCATAAATAATTGTGGGGGGTGTGCTTATCTCGTAAGCCGGAAAAATTTTTTTTTAATTTAGCCCAAAAACGATCTAATAATAGAAACCCCCTATCTTTGAATATGTTCGGACTTCTTTTAAAACAATCAAAACAATTAGGCGTGGATGTCATTTATTAATATCGGAAAATATTTGTTAATCCTTTCGACTTTTATGGTAATTCATATGATATATAATGAGGTCATAAGCAATCAGATGACCTAATGTCAAAATCCGTGAGAATTTTAAAGGATCGGGATTTGATAATCGCAACCCGATTATCGTTTATATGATTGATTACAAATAAAAGTACATTTTAGTTTTAAACCAAAGAAAAAATAAAATAAAAAAATTTTTTTTAGAAACATTATTATCTACAAATTAGGACAGGTAAAAAGTAAAAAAAAAAAATAATTTAGACGACCGAGAAAAAAAAAAGTCGATCTATCTAACCCCCCGAAAAGCGAATAAGGAAAAAATAAAATAAGATAAAAAAAAACTAATCTACAAATTTTTCTTTTTAAGATTATAAAAAAATCAATATAATTCTATCAAAAAAAACTTTTTCTATACTTCTAAGATACTTCTTCTTTAGCAGGTTTTCCTGTATTAACAGTTCCGGTTGCTGGGAATAATTCTGATAAAATTTCATTAAAGATTTCACTGTATTGAGGATAATTTGATAAATCCGATAAAATATTTTTGAACCCGGTCGTCTGCCTAATATTGACAAAATTCAAAACCACGTATTTCATTGTATGTTCCTTTAATTCCGGATATTTCCACGCCGTTCCGAACAAAAATTCCGCAGCGTCATTTACTGTCAAATAATTAAAAATTTCATTCTTTGCCTGCAAACGTAATTCGTCTATTAAATATTTATCAGCGATTCTAAAGAGATCCAAAGCCGTAATGTTTGAATTCTGGTCTTCCCTTTTCTCAATAAATGTGACCTTGTTCGTGTAGAGAAACCGTAACATCTCCAAAAATGTTTGATAATGGAAATCGGTGACATCGATGACATGGTTACACCTCGTCGTTGGCGGCGCTTGAAGGTTGACGTTATTAGAACTCTTTCTCTCCCTAGTCGTGAATTGCACTGTCTCTACTTTACCGTTCGGATCCGATTCTAACCACTTCCCTTGGAACACAAGTTGAAAATATTTAGATCTTGTGGAAAGGATCGATGAATTGGCATAAATTATATTTCCATGAATGTTGAACTGAACATCGGACGTTGCGGGATTATTCAGTTGACCCTCCCATGCCTTCACCAGATCTTGTGGGATAGTATCAGTTAACTGAGGATTACTTGGTAGTGGCCACTTTTGGGAGACCATTCCCATTTCAGCTCGATCAAATTCTACACCGAATAAGACATGATCCGGTAGATTAGCTTTATTAAAGAAAGCTTCCCAGCCTATAGAATTTAAAAAAAAAGAAGGGGGAGTTTGATATAAATCGATCCATTTAATTGGTATTGCGAATGAATGAATGCGATGATTCGGGTCATACCCCATCCGGATAATTTTGCGGAGAATGAGTTCATTTTTACAGATTGCTTCTTGAGGAAAGTTTGATTTCTTGCGTTTTTCAAATATATTTTTGCAGTTAAAAGGCTTCTCCTCGACCATATACCGGTAGAATTTGCCTCTTCATAATTAGGAATGGCGAAGAGAAATGCAGCGCAATGTTCGGGTTCTTCGGACGACGTCTAAAATTTTCGAATATTGCAAAGATTATTTTTTTTTTAATCATCAACGAATTTATCAAATCTTTTTTCGATCTAATAGGTTTTTCATCGAACATGTACGTACAGGAATGAACTCGAGTTGCCAAAACATGTCGTGAGTAGTGCCAAAAGGGGCACTATAAACCGTCGTATTAATCTTTGAAACGTTGGAAAGAAGGAATTCGTAACAACATTTTGTTTTTAGAGCTGAGGCCATGACTAAATGAAAAAAAAACACACACAAAAAAAAAAAAATAAATATATATATATATAAATATAAAAAAAGGTGTTCGGAAAAAAAGAGAAAAATTTTATATTTAGGAAACATAACAAATCAAATGTAGTGGTTAAATGTGCAACGGGGAAAGATGTTACACAGAACATCTTTAACAGAGTACAAAAAAAAAAAAAAAAACGTGATAAGTTTACCTCTCCAATTAATCAAATTTTTTTTATTTTTTTTTGAACGGACCGCGAGACGGTGAGATACAGAAAAAAAAAAGCTGAAGATACCGATACGGTTGAATCTCTTTTTATAATAATTCCGAGTTTTATGAATTTATCAAATTTAATTATAGTATGTGTGTACGGTGATACAATGCGAACTCATGACCTTTCAACAAGACCCTTTTGGTAAGATGCTGTAGGTTCATATGATTCATTTTAAAAGGGGTCAACATTATCGGTCAAAGACAATGTCAATTATGTGACTGACCAACATAGGATGATCGATTAATTTGCCGATCTCCCTAAACGGTACCTCAATTGAAAGAAACGGTATTTATGTTATTTATTGCAGTCGTAACCGCAGCAAATCAATCACGATTTTTTTTTTTTAAAAAAAAAAAAATGTTGAAAATACTTAAATCTAAAAAAAATTATTTTGGGTTAGGGATTATATAATTTACGTGTGAATTGTCGTTGCAAGTTATAATGCTAAGGCAGGCTCTATTAGAAAAATGATTAAGTCGCCATCGTATATGTATATGTATTGAATCAGCTCACGTTTCGGCGCATAATCGATTAAACTTTATTAATAAATAAGGTTTTCCAATAATATACAATATATATATATATATCAGTTATGGGTTTTTGTGTAAATTTATACAGTATGAAGAAAAGGATAGCTTTACGTGCAAAAAAATTCTGTAGTTCGTAATACGTGTCCATTCTTAATAGATTATTTAGAATGAAATATTTAAACTAATAAATTTTTTCACGGCTCTTTATTATGGAGTGCATATTTGTATGGAAGATCAAAACTAAGTGAAAATGTTTATAATTATATAACAATCCCATTATTATGGGAAATAGATTAGTTTAATGAAGCTTCTATATACTTTTGAGACATGAAATAAGCATATAAAGTTTTTTTTTTAAACTGAATAAATGATATTAATCAGTAAATAGGATTCATTTATTGTTTATTTCGTGTCAATTTACTTTTTCTCCTCTAGAAAAGAAACGTCCAAGAAAAATATAAGCCAACCACGGAAATTTCACGAATTACTTATTTAAGTATTTAGTATTAAACTTTCCCATCTCATCTGAGGTGATTATGTTGTATCATGAATCTGATAATCCGTCAATCCGATGATAGATTCCCAAAAGGAGAAATTATTTTCGGATTGATCAGTTACATATCTTTCCCAGGCAGGCCTACTAGTATACTTAATTTTTTTCTCAGATCTACTAGCATTCACAGGTGATTTCATTATCAACGTAAGGGATTTATGAAAGATTACTTCTGGACAAAATCCGAATTCGGACGCAAAGAGGTATATAAATGAGGTGGTCATTTCATCAAAAAATATTATCCAAATGTTTTAACGGGTTTGTTCAAAGCTAATCGATGAAAAGTATTCTAGCTGATAGCTATTATGTGTATATTACAATATTTTAAATTGGAATGAAGGTTCGTTGTGTAGCTGCAATCGCTTAAAGAATTAAACCTATTGGCCGAAACCAACGCCAGTTATTTTTTTTGAATTTTATCCGCAAATTGCCAGAAGGTTACACAAATATAATGAAATGCTCCATTGAAATTGAAATATATTTCACGAAAGTAAATAAATTACGAACGTATATAAATATAAATATATATATATAAAGATTGTCATTGATAACGAACAAGAAGAAATTGATTGTAACTATGATGGAGGAAGAGGGCTTTTGAATAGAAAATGGTCTAATTCATTTTTTGGTAATCTTTTTTTTTTTTAAAACTTGAAAACGCGAATCAAAAAACGAAGAAAAACGAGAACACAGAAAATCGCGTCAGGTTTAAGTGTCCTAAAGCGGATGTGGCACCTTCTATTTCTATTAAGGAATCAACAAAAAATGGATAAAGAAAGCATAAAGATCCCCATATTCAAGAAAAAATAGTTTTCAGAAGTAACTAATTTCAATTTGATGTTAATCAAGCAATTTCAATCTTTGCAGCAGCATCTACGACAAGTTTGCTATTCGAAAATATAAACCTCTAGAAAGGAATATCCAACTTGTATTAATAGTTTTCTTTGGTGCAGTCTTGAAAAAAAATCAAAATTATTGTTAGGGACCCGAATGCCTTATTTAATTTTTATTTTATTTCTTGATTCGCCATTACTTTCAACATTCGAGAAAAATGAAATTATCCGACTTGCTTATAATGCAAAAGAAACTAAAAACTTTAAATCATTTCAGAGGAAATGATTAAGAATATAACTTGTTTATGAGAAGAAACATTAAAAGAAAGATCTTGCACATGGAAATGACAATGTACTTTGGAATATTTGTGAAGAAATTTGGCTCATTCGTTTGAAAATCTTTTTTCATCATTTTGTTAATTTGGATCTGTCGAGCAATGCCTAAAAGAAAGTTATAGCATATGATGGTTTGCTCCGATATTATTGCTGGTTGTCTTTTTGCGAAAGGATGAAAGTTCACAACAAATATGAAATTAAAATTTTTGTGGAGGTTCACGATTGAATCTGATAAAATGCCCCCTAATATATTTTATGAGAAATATTCGAATACTGAGAACATTAAGTAACGCTGTGTCATAAAATTTAATTGCGCTATGCTTCTAAGCTTTTAATATCAATTATTCAATGCTGCTTGAATATAAGTTTACATCTGGTAAAACGTTATAATTTTCTTTTATTTCAATTATCATTTATTATACCGAATTCTTAGGTCTTGAAAAATTCCATGACAACGAACAAGCGTGTTTGTAGAGTCTTTAAAACTCTACACACAGTATTTATAATCTTTTAAACAATTAATTACTTTTTATTACTTGAACATTTCCATCGATCCAACTTGCTCATATACTACGCTGAACTCGCTTCAGCAAGGCACATCATATTCTCGATCAAAACTTTGTTGAATTGGATAAGTAATCAGTGACACATTCGTTACACGAAACAAAAATTATCAAATTCGAATCTGTTTATAGTAGCTGAACTTGGTCGAAAAATTTGGTAAAGTTTAATTTATTTATTTATTTATTTATTTTTTTTTTTTGACTTTTATAATTGGAGCTATATTATTATTATAATCAATCTACAATATCCCAAGTACTGAGCCATTTTTTATCCTTCAATTCAATATTAGGAGATGATACACCATATGCTATATCTTTAAAATACCAAAATATCGTTATAATTAATGCATAATGTATCCCAAATATCATATTTTTTGTCTTTAAACTACAAGACGCGGTAAACTGATCCATTAAAAATCCTGTCATTAAGATTGAAAAATATAATGCAGGAAAATAATGATGCAAATATGTAACCCTCCCCATTAAATAAAAAGGTAAATAATGTAATAACCATCCAATAAAACAAATCCTACCAACATATAAAAAATATGTCCATTGGGCTTTAAAAGAAAAAAAAAAAAATTTATCATCAATTATTTTATGGATGATTAATAAACGTATAAATTTTTATATTTACCTGGTGAAAAATCAGTATATTGTCTTTGTCGTCTTACTAAATACCAGAATAATGTCAAAATAAACAACATCAAAGAGGCAGTTCCAGACCACCAAACAGCTGGATTTCCAAGTAAATAAAATTTAATGGAATCACTTGTCCAACTACATAACCTAAGTCCAACTTCTAATATTGGCCATTGTCTTGGTTTAGATGCGAGAATATCATAATCATCAGGATCGGAAACTAATGCATTATTCGCGTTATACATGGCAACGTTCAAATTCCAGAATTCGCGTAAAAACTTTGACTTATAATTAGCTTTACCACCAGGTGGTACTAAGAAATATAAAATTATTAGAAAATAAGGCTTTAATTAAAATAATTCAACAACATCTTCATGCAAAAGATACCTTACATTTGCTATTCCAATGTCGTTCAATATTCCAATGAGTATAAGTATCCTTTGGATTATTACGTTTATCGCAAGTTACCTCAACTTGTCTAAATCCCCAATCTGGTAAACCTACGTTTGCAGCTCGAAGATAACATCCCAATGCTTTATGACGAAGTCGCATGATAGTTGTTAACGATCGAATATGATTTGTCCTCTTGTATACATCATCTACAACTTCAATTACCCAAGAATCCTTCTCATCTCCGAATGTATCATTTCCATAGCAACTCACTTCCCAATGTGCTCTGGTTAGAGGGGCAGGAATTTTATGACTATGTAAATTACTTTCAGTCACAAGATGTAACAACCTAATTGTATCACCATCATTCACAAATTCAACATCGGTTTCATTGTCGTAAATTTCCATTTCTCTAGGCTTCAACACAATCCAATCATTGTTAAAATCCTCA